GGTATCGTTTATGATACGGACAGTGCATCATCATTCACGAGAATTTGACGTTTCTTCAATATAATACTGATGTCTGTCTTTGGTTACCACTAGAAGAGGCAACGTCCATTCTAAACGGTTGCGTTTATCCAGCTGTTTTTTTTTTCGTCACTTCTATTTTGGAATTTAAGTAGAACAGTGTAAACACACTTGAATCATGTATTTATCCAAGTGCACAAAGGCCCATCCAGTAATTGAGCTCGAGTGGACTCAGATGTAATAACTCAGAGAGTTTTAATTCGCTTATAACAACAACAACAATATTAACAAAACAAGTGCCTTAATTGAAGATGTTTTTTTTTTGGATAATCTTAAATTGTTTTCTTTTAACTGTAAATATGTTGTAATATGTTTTATGGAAACATTAATTAAAATTTGTTAATTTTGCAACCGCGAAACCAATATCTTATCAGTCGAATTGGTGTAATGATAGCGAGTTTCTGTAATTAAACATATTATAATTTTTTTTTATTTTAATTACTTTTTTTTTAAAGTAGTAGGAATGTTTGCTTCTTGGCTCCGTTCGAGTCGATTAATTGCAATAAATTATGGGACGCGGTTACGTAACGGCCGTGAGTCACGTATCGGTTTTGACGGGATGGAGATGGAGAGAAGAAGGAACAGAGATAAAAAAAAGGAGAGAAGAAGAGAGGATCGGGCGGAATGAACGCGTGTCAAAAGTGTGAAAATGATTCGCTCTCGAAAATAAACTTGAAGTGTATAAACATTTCGGCATTTCGGTTTTCCCGGCATGCGCCAGTATTTTTAGAGCCGGATTGGAAATGGTCGTTCGTCCGAAGTCCGATGAAACAACGATGGGAAACCGTTAAACGTTCTGGTGTTTGTGTGTGTCCCATGGTTATAATGTATTTGCAGCAACTATTTCCTATGCAAATGAAGCTACACTAACTGTACCCGAAACAACTGCATATGGAATCCTTAATACGCTCTATGACTTTCGCAAAGCTATATTAATGCGAAACCCGTTTCGGCCTTTTTCTTTTCATGTTGTTTCGATTTATTATTTATTTACGTTATTCCCTCCTCCTCTGATGAACGTGTGCATGTGTGTGTATATGCATGCGACGTGGGTGGAAGTAATTTAATTATTTGATCGAACCCACGCGGACTTCTTTTTTTTCCCTTCTGGTTTACGCCCGATTATCTTTGGAAGCATCGCTTGGATGTATAGAGTAGGCTGGATGCCTCGTGTTCCTTATAGAAAACATATGCACTCCGAACAGCATGTTACAAAATGTGAGGGAGACGGGAGCAAGACGTAAAATCGTATGGTATTACGAGCTAGATAGATGTGGGAGGGAAAAACATGTGCGTGCGATGAGCGACGGAGGAGGAGAGTATTGGACCGTGCCTCGTGGAACAATTAAAATATTTAAGAAATCCCCGTCCATTATCCTTGGCCGACGGCCCGTTAAAACGGAAAACGCCGCACGAATCGATCATAATATCTTCCCAATGATGGAATGCATCTCCGCTGTTCTCATTCTTTTTTTTTTGCACAACTCCTCCTCTCATTATTCTCCATTGTTGGTCGAAGAACCTTTCGCTCGCTGCAACGCTGTGTCATCTGCTAATCGATGCTAACGCCATAATTAGCACTGGATCCAAGCAAACGCGACAAACTACAGAAACGTCTTCTACTTCATCTTTATTTTCTTTCGACTCTGGCCTCCTACTTTTTAAATGCGTCCGAAAGTACACATGGATCCTGTTCGTCCCGAAAAACAGGCGCCCGAAATAGCATCCATCCACTCTCGTGCAGGCACACCATCGAAATTCTAAGAATAGCTCTCTGTTTATCCAGCATCCACGTCCGGTATAACTGTGCGTCTCCACCGCTTTTCCCTCATCCATTTTCCACCGATTCTGTAACGTCACCTCGCTGCTCGTTTCCATAACTTTTATGCACATTGATTTATAATAAACGGTTTCTCCATGGAAATGTCTTTAGAATGTCATTGCCAACCATCGCAGCATAACAACATTTATTTATTATTCCTCTTTTTTTTTCTTCATATTCATGTATGTATGCCGAGCAGTTTCTTGCGGTTCAATTCTTCCAAGAAATACCATACAAAACGAACTACCCACATCCATATACTTCTCTTCGCAACTAACTCAATAACTATCAAAATAAATGTTTCAAACTTGATACAGAATCAACATGCTAGATCTTTTTTTAAAATGTATATTAAATCAATTTCAGAAATGCATAATTAAAATGAATAAACTAAATTATATTCAAAACATTTGCAGTAGAAAAATGGAAAACGGTAGCATAGATTACAATATTTTGTAGCAATTGTTAAATAAATACAATGTATTTTACTGTAGCTTGTCAATAGTTTGTAGGAAAAAAACGAGGTTTATAGTGGGCAATACCAGGTCAATATTTACATTTCAGCTACATATATTCTTGATGTTCGTTTTTTATATTATTGCTTCTTCTCCTTCCGTTCCTTGCTTCTTGCGATATTGACACAAAAACCAGACTTATTTATTTACTTAACTTTGAATGAAATGTACACCGAGACATCGTTTTATTTTTCCATTGCCGAGCATTGATTCATAGCGATAGAATGAATGTAGTCAATCGAGACACGTCAGTTTATTGCAACACAATTATACTTCTTTTCATTCAATCTTCATACAAAGGACCATTAAAACATATCCAGCCGAAGACGTATATCAGAACAGGAGTTAATTAGCATATTTTTTTAAAAGGAATCTAATAACTTTGATCTAACAGCTCGGATTAAAATATCGTGTACATATGAAAAATAAAATAAAACTGAGCGAATGACATCATTTTGCCTCGTAAAATATCAGCTTCTCTCACGCATGTGATAATTAAACGGCGCAATGGCAATAACATTATCTATTAATATTCAGAAGGAAGAAAAACGGAGAAGCAAAAGTGCTCAGATTAAAGGCAAAAGAAAATGGTAATTTGCTTGATTCTAATTTCACACTTTATTCGCAATATTTATGTTCTATTACGATATTGGATTGAAGGATGATCGGGATTGAAGAAACCGTTATTCAGCGCGAATCTAAATAACGAAACGTTAAATTGGTGGAACGGAAACCATAGTAGTAAACGCATACGGTAATTCGTATTTTTAGATATGATGATGTAAACCTAATTCATGCAATTTGATAACGTAAATTTCTGTGGATTGAATAGTTAATTTAAGATATTTGCATCATGTAATCACTAACATTTCTTTAAAATAAAATTTAAAGCTAATTTAGTGTAATGGACAGATTGTTATCAAAACTAATTATTTTTAAAGTTGTCAGTACGCACTTTAATCAGAACTTAATTTTTTAATTACATGTATGTATCGGGGAGAGATTTGAATAACTGGTTTTGCTTGAAAGGGGAAAACAATAATCGGCTTTACTGGGAAACGAAGGAAGTGTTTAGTGAAAGTTTGGTTTACCAAATCTCGTTCTCAGTATATACCCTAAAATTGTTTAAAGATCACGTTTAGGATTTATCTGTATTTAAGTATCTTCTAATAACGTTTTGTTTATTCTTCGGTTAATTGTTTTGTGTAGAATTGTACGGATATTTAAATAAGTAGATTTGCAAACAAGGTATTTGTATTAAGTAAATCTGTATAGTATCAATACTATCTTGTGACCCAGATTTCAAATTCTTCTGGTCGAATGAATGCATGGATGGAGGTGAGCACCTTTGCTAAGCACGTTTTTGTTTTGTTTTAGGGGAAATCTACTGTAAACTAGAGGCAAACAATGCTATCAGCGAATTAGCATTCGGTAAACATGGAAAGGGTATTTGCTTCTCGGAGCTGCGATAATAGAAACAAGCATACATGACATACTCCGGGCAGTGACAATTGAATGCGGCGCGTCGAAGGAAACGCTGGTATTTCGGATTTTACGTAACAATAGAGGGAACAAACGGCAATCACGCTCCGCGGCGTCTCTTCCCCTCGGTTCGACTTCTCTTTTTTTTTTTCTTCTGTCTCTCTCAGTTGTTTTGTTCGAAGCACCCACGCGGCAACAGGTTACCAACGCAACAGGTTGTTGTTACTCGTCCCTTTGACACGGGGGTTGCGCACAGGTAGAATTCTATACGGACAACCAGTCCACTCGAAGCACCGAAAAAAAGCTTGCGGTAAAAATCATTTACAGGGTGAACTATAATTGTTGCTTCCTGCTCTCGATTTACATCAATCGAGTGGAAAGTCAAGAGCAACGAGAAATTCGTGTTTAGGGAGAATGTAGCTGTATTTTTTTTCAATGATTGTCGATTTATCAATCAAGCTTTGTTGGGTCGGGCGATTCGAGTTGATATTATTGGAACTGAGATAAGACGTCTAGACGGGAATGTATGTGGTGCTGGCTAATACATCCGATACAGAGTTTATTGTTGTGCTGCGAGAAACGATTAGTTTGCAAATAATTCAATTATCCTTTTGTAATGGGCGATATTCGTGCGGTAGCTGCGTTTGATTGGTTGCTATTGAATGCTATCATCATTCGGCGATAACGAAAATAAACAGAATTGATTGGACCTGCTGCCATGACGAATCACAATAACATTGACACAAGTGTGATGGGAGGTATTAAAGGTCAGAAAGTGAAGAATTTCGAAGGGCATGATGCTTCTTTTTTTTTGTCTGCGAGTTTTCGATACGAGGGAGAACTTAGGGTTGGTCATTATGTCCGTTGTGGTGCAGGTAGATGATGATGGATTGGGATGCTTACAGTGGTGAGAAGAAGGTTTTATTTTTTTAATTTTCGCGACGGACAGCTCGAAGTCGGCGAGTTCAGAAAGGTCGCGTTGTCTCGCTAAGTGCGTCACCGTGGTCACATGTTCCGACATGTATCTATAGAATGTGTTGTTGTGCAGAATGCGTGATGTAGGTGCAGAGGATGATGCGTGGGGTTCATTTATCTTGTCTTACCTTCGTCCAGGAGTCGCTCAACGTGGAGGAAGACGTTCGGGAAGGCGGCTAGCTGCTTCCTATCTTTCAGCAACTGCGCCAGATAGTCCGCTATACTCTGGGTCGAGGCAATGTTCGGATCGCTCATCTTTGTGTAAATTGGTCAACTTTAAAACTCAAACAACCAAATAAACACCACCCAACGGGAACGACGACGGTTCGCGAATTTAACTACTGCTGGCTCTGCTGATTGCGTCCTTGCTCGAACGAACTGTGGATGTGTTGTGGTAGTAATGTAGTGGTAGCAGCAGTACTTCTTCTGTCTACGCTTTTAGCTACGAGTCCGTAGTTTGTGTGTGTATGTATGTCTGTTGTATTTGCTAGCTAATCTAGGAATAGTGTTTGGTTCCAACTTGGCATGGATGGTCCGTCAAATCGGCCGCGCACTATAAAACTGAGCTTAGGAACGCCGTCACTGAGCCTACCGGACAACCATCTTGCGCGTATCTAACCTGGTCATGCGCACCATCACCAACAGACTTGTATTTTCCTTATAAGGTCGCCAACAAAATACACCTTTTTTCTTCTTCTTTCGCCACTAAACCAAATAAAAATAAATATATATATTACAATACCATATCGTCCGCTAATCACCAGACGGACACCTCACCTCTAAGCTCGGATAGGCAACGGAAAAAACACGCATCGAAACCCACCAAGAAAAATTATCCGCCATTTATGTTTTTACATATATACCGGGTGATTGCCTACTCTCAAAGAAAACGCTAATTCCCCAACTGCTGCAATAATATCAATATAAATTACTAACAATACCAACATCAAACAAAATAGTTTAACACTTTTTCAGGAATACTAGAAAACTTCAGACCAACAACAAGAAAAATCTGCTGAAACAATGTTAACTACAAACAAATAGTTTATATAACATTGTAAAATTTATTTACTACAAACAAGAAAACGCCAAACATTTGAAACAAATTCCATATAGATTACTAATACATTTTTTTGTATTTGTCAGGGTTTAAGATGAAAAGCGTTTCTTCTTTGGCCCACTTCACTTCAGCCAGTACAAAAATCGTACACGCATATGGTTTCAATTAATTCATCCTTTACCCACGCTCTGGCTATAAACCACAGATTTAAATCTTTCACTCACTAAATACACGTTACTACACACCCCTAATCCCAGCCGCATGTTATTTAATACCAATACCGAAAGAATATTTATTACTTGTAACCCAAATACTAATATCCTCAATATTGTACAGTTCTGAAACAATAAATTTATTAGATAAACTTAAATGTTATTTCTTTATTATTAATTAAAATATAAAACTTCTAACTATCAAAATAAGTTAATTAATTGAAACTTACATTCATTTCCTGTAATTTATTTAATAATTGTACGCAGTCTATTTAATAACTACATAAACCATATTTTAACATCTCTCACAAAATACGTAATAGAGTAGTGAGTAATTCCTGCATATTACATAATTAATTGTTATAATAAAGTATTACTTGCAAATGAATATTAATTATTTCCTGAACGGAAAACGCTTTTATTTATAGTTTAAATATTTAATTTAATCTTAAACAACATTTAACAAATAAAAAAAAATATAAAATATTTTTATTACATAAATATCAATAAGACAACTTAAGCAAAAACTTAACAACTTCTAAAAGCTGAATTAATTATTCTTAAGTATATTTTTTAAACAAAGTAAAGTATTTTCATAAAATTATATTTTTTATTTGCATATATTTGTATGGAATTAAAGTAGCTAAAGTACTTAAATATTGGAAAATGGTTTCTCCTAACTGTTATTCCAAATTAATAGCTTCGAGAATGGTTTTGTAAACAAGCAGTTTGTTATTCAACGATGGTCTTTTCTTATTATCACACAGTTTCAACAACTTTTTGTTTTGTCTTCTTTTTTTCTTCCTTTTCAAGTTAGCCGCCTATTTATATTACATTACACGCCTTTCGTAATTCTTTGTTTCGTTGATGTTACTTAGCAACACGTCATTTTCCTCATCGTAAAGACGACATGAGTAATTTCAATGCTCGGAAATGTAGTTACTACTGTTTGGTTGGACACATAAATTCAGATTAAAAAAAGAGCTCGAAGTAGACAAACACAGATATAATTGGAATTAGATACAAAATGAATACAATATTAATAATATACTTCAACAAAAAAAATGCTATTTATGATGACACGAGGGTTTCTATTTTAATTATTTGTATCTTATTAGCACAGAGTAACGTATGATGCAATAAACATATGCACTTTTTAGTATCACTTGTAAATAAAACATTTTAACAAGTTCCCACTTTGTGTCTAATTAAAAATGTACACATGCGAACGAGTTGAGAATACATTCTAATAAATAAAAAGTAGTGTCAATAACCGTTTTAACGTGTTACGTAACAATTTTATAATTGTATTAAATTTTGACAATTGAGGAAATTTTTGTGTATACACAAATGTCTTTCTTTTACATTCTTCTAAAGGCAATCTGCTGTGGAAAAGAACGTTTCCTAAGGGTGTAAGTTTATTTTTAGGTGCAACGTCCTTGAAACTATTTGAGGGCGTTTCACTATGCTTAGAATTTTTGTTTATTACAGATAGAAAAGTTCGTGTTTTCTTTATTTAACTAAACTAAATTGATATTTCTTAAGTTTAATTAATTCGTCTTTTAAGTGGTTTGTTTATTGGTTCTTCGAAAATTACTTCCGTTTTATTATATTTACAAAAAAAAACTTTCAGTTTGTCTTGAAAGCATTGGAATATTAATTTTAATTAAGATGATGATAATGTTTAATTAATGTTTTAATTTTCGCTTTTTCATGAACGCAAAGAAGTGAATGGAACGATCAGTGTAATAAAAGGAAAACAGTTTACAGTTAAATATAATAAAATTAAGAAGTGTACAATTGCATTTGCTGCCGAGTGGTGAACGTCGATCGCTTCTCGAGAGGCCTAATTACAATCTACTTGAAATTATTTACTCAACTCAGAATACAGAACGAGTACGAAACTGACATAATTTCTAAACCGCTGGATGTCATTGAAGTTTAATTCGATTTTCTCCACGCTCGACGTCGTAAAAATCCACACAAATGGATACAGCATGCATACTTCAATTATTCAATCCATATAGCACATGTACAGAGCGTTCCTGTTTCATAACAAGTTGCGTAACAAATCTCTTGTTTTTTGTTTTTTTTTTTGTTTATCGTTGATTTCTACTTCCTAAGATCGTTTCATCTCTTTTCTCTTTTGCCAATAAATTGCTTAATTCTTGCTAAAAATTATTAAATTTTGAATAATTTATCATTACCGGCAAATAAATAAGGTGCTTTTATTAAAATTAAATACAGTGGAACTTCGCTTAACGAGTTTCATCCGTTCCAAAATTTCCGGATTTTTACTCGTAAATTGAAACATATTCAAAAATACACATAATATGTGTACACAAGTTTTAAAAATTATGTATGTCGCGCAATCCGCGACTTCTCTTCTCATTGTCACTCGTTATGCGAAACGTCGCTTGTTAAGCGAGTCATTTTTCTTACAATTCATTTTGCTCGTTATGCGAGGTGCTTGTTATGCGACAAGTAACAAGTACAAGTAATTTGAACTATAATCATTAATCAATATATTTCTTTTGACTGTATATTCAATTGCATGTAGGAGTTAATGTAATGAATATACTTTTTTTTATGCAGAAGTTAAAGCCACTATAATGATTTTTTGGCATAACGTTTGTACCATCATAGGGGTGAGTGCTTAATTGTACGGATGCTTACTCCCCTAACCCTCATATTGTCGCATATGCTTCTATTTTCATTGACTCAATTAACAGCCCCGTTAAATTAATTTTTATTCCTCTTATTGATTTTTCGAGATCATGTGAATATTCTTTGTACCGAAATTTCCTTGTAATATTCTCATGAATTCACAGAGAATTGAATTAATCATACATTATTTATGTAATATGCAGCAAACAATCAATTAAAGACACAATGCAAGAAAAACTCAATCAAAACAAGAATTTTAAATGAAAATGTTTTTACATCATAGATTGTTGATGTAACGTCAAAACGATAAATAACTTAAGTATTTGCATATTATTAATTATGTAAAAATTCACGTTATTTAAATTAATCGACAGTTGACTAAAGTGGACAATATTAAAATTTAAAATATTTTCGATATTTGCTTTAATACATTTCAATCATTATGTAATAATTTATTTACTTTTTAAGACAATACATGTATAATTGGTTGCCTACAAATTTACAATCCCTTTGTTCCAAGTAACTGATACTCCAGTTAATTACACAATTTTTTAGTTGAATATCTTTATTAGCTCTTTGAGAGTCGATGGTACACACAATTTATTACCTTTTGAACAGGCCTAGTGGGGCGACGATACGCGAATTGTACCACCTTTTTAATTATATCTTTTTTTCTTCATTTGGCTTCCGCACTGCGCCAACAAGCAAACCACTGTCTGTTCAATAAAAATAAAAACAAACTAAAACTTTCTTCTTCAACTCAAATAAATAAAATAATCTGCTTCTTCTAACTTAACTAAACCTATATCTTAACTTTCTTAAACTACTAGACCAAACTTAAAATAACTTCAATAAAATACATACATAAGAGAGTTACTGGGAAGACATGTAAAAACAAGTAAGGGTACGATTTGAACGCAAATATTAAACGTATTTCGAACCGGAGCCCCAGCGGTTCAGTATATAGGTTCTTGAAGAAACCTCGTAATGGTATAAATTATATATGATAACATGTTAAAATTCTATCTTAATTTTCTAGAGAATAACCAGCAAAATCATTAAAACTATGCATTGATTTTTGTATGCATATCAATTTTTATTGTTATAAATACATTTTTCAATATTTTTTTTGTGTCTCCACTTTGGACTAGAAATTTAGGAATTTCTGGCCCTTCAAAGACTTAAGTAATCTTTATAAATTATGCTTAAAGTTTGTCAGTTTAATTGTCTTTTAATATATTCACATGATTTTATTGTTGATATTTAAGGAAAATAAAAGAAACTGGTGAAATTGTGCGCTAAATGAGAAGGGTGGTAGAAGACAGAAGAAGAAGGAAAATAAATTAGTAAAATTTGTGATTATTTTAAAGATTTTGGTTTCAAATTATATAAAACTTCTTCAATTCTTAAAAAATTCAAAGATCATTTGAATTGTTTTTTTCGAACTGAAATTCATGTTTATAAAAAAAACTCGTAGAGTTAATTTTCTTTTTTTTAACAAGTGTGGTGGATCTGTGCGAAATTGGATGGTGTTTGTGTGAAAAGCGAAGTGACGAAAAGCGCGGTTATTTCTAATGTAGGTTTCACTTTCAAATTTTGCTTACACACATATATATATTTAAAAAAATACAAGAATACATG